GTGGAAGGAAAATTGGCCTGCAACGACCTTTTTGCGATTCGAAGTGATTGCACTTGAGCCATGAACAAAATACCCTGGTTGATTGCTTATTTAATGGGGAGTTAAACCATCAATTATAGGGGTTGTAACATGTTACCATCAAACATATGGGGATAGTAGTTGAGAACTGATGATTGATTGGTTGCTTTGTGGGGACTTATATTACCGAATTTGCTGAGTATGAAAACCCATAGTAGGGAAACGGTTTTCAACCAACTAGTAACCAGTAATTATCTGATGAGATGGGATAGGGGTATTTTTTGTGGCTCACTTGGTCAAGCCGCTATATGATGTCAGTTGATTCTTGGTGGTGCGAATAATCTCATCAGGGTAAGAAAGGTTTGAGTAGGTTTATTGTTCAGTTGTTTTCTCTTTTGTCATAAGTTGGAGGTTTCCCAAAATGTGGGTACCCCAAAACCATAGCATTCAATACCAAGTCATGGTCTAATGACTTGGATGATTTTGGTGGTAGCCACACTCTGGAAACCACCAAATGGAGATTGACATTCTCCAGCGTAAAAAAATGCATGGTAGATCATTGCTCATTGGACCTAGTCTGCAGAAATGTTGATCCCAGAATCCGAAAAAAACATATGAGCACATCAATGATACAATTCCCATCAAACCATTTACATTATGGTTCATCCCTTTCGTCCTCACCGTGAGGTCACCAGAAAGTCCCGTGATCCTTCAAGTATCCCCCGCACTGTCCCAATGTCCCAATTGGCATCGTGCACTAAACAGAAAGGTACGGTCTGGATCAGAAAATAGGGACCCCAATATCCAGTTGGTGATCAAGATGTTCATCATGTAGTGGGGTAGGTCCACCCCATTGTTGGACAAACATGTATCATATGTGTTTGGTTATACATACTACAGTAGGGGGTGAAAGGCGTGCCTGTTGCACAAAAATCCTTTATTAAGCTGCGGGGACGATTTCCCAAAAGGCGTGCCTAGCCGGAGTTACTTGGGGAGAAAGAATCAGTAGTCGAGATATCCTCATGTTTTGGCTAAGTATTGGTCACTTTTGCTGGCAAATCCATTGTGCCATTGTGTTTTAGGTTTCATTGCTTTTTGTTGGAAACATATATTTGAGGAAACGATGGTTCTTCTTATTATTATTATTCTTCTTTTTCTTCTTCTTCTTCTTATTCTTCTTCTTCTTCTTCGTTTTCTTCTTCGTCTTCTTCTTCTTCTTCGTCTTCTTCTTCGTCTTCTTCTTCTTCGTCTTCTTCTTCTTCGTCTTCTTCTTCGTCTTCTTATTATTCTTCCTACTTCTTCCTTCTTCCTCGTCTGCCAGCATGAGAGCCAGCCCTAAGGGTTGCATTGGCCTGGATGCGAGCCTTATGGCAGCGGGCACGAGATATTTAGGCAGCGCGTAGAAGTGCATGAATGCCACTTGTGAGATTGCATGTGAGATTGTCAGTGATTTAGGGGCAGGCTAATGATGACCTTGGTTCTACCCTACTTGCTATCTCCGATCGGTTCTTGCGGCACTCGTCGACGCTGTGGGCACCAAAGGACCGGATCTCACAGCAAGTGCCAGCTCAATTTCGCTGCAAGCCCCGCGGCAGTCTGGCCACACGCTCTATATATATATATACATATTTATATATATATATATCCCATATACTCATGAAAATCCTCATGCATACGTCCATTCCGAATCTCATGCCCACATGTTTGTTGGCTACGTCTTTATTTTACACCACTGTCCCATGGATTTCGGATCAAATCCCGATGAAATGGTCGGTTAAATCACCACTAAGTCTGCGTGTGTGTCACATCCACAAATCCACATTTGTGGCGGAAGCCTGAATGTGTATGTACATATATATATATATATACATACATACATATGTATATAATGTTTGCAACCGATTAGTGTCATGATGCCCTATTGTGAGAAATTTCTTGCTCCTAATTCAGTAACATGCTGTTTGTGGGGGAGGGCCTCTATTGTGAGATTTTTCAGATTTTTCCACATTTTTCCAAATGCTTTATTGCTTATTTGTTTTTATTATTTTTTGTTTTTATTTTATGTATTTATATTTTATCTTTATTTAATTATTATTTTTTATATTTTTTATTTTTAGTTTTATTTTTTTTATTTTATTTACTAGTGTTTAATTGTTTTCATTGCTTCCTTTTTTATATTGTTTTTTAATTGCTTCCTGTTTCATTAATTAATTACAGTATGAGTGGCTCAGTTACTGAATAATATAATTGTCTGCATGGTACTCTATTGTGAGCACCAAAAAACAAAACCCTTTCTCCACCTTTCTTTGGGTAAAGCTCGTCCCTCTACTTTAGAAAGCAATATTTATGTTAAAGCTTTAAGATGCAAGGTTTTCCAAATAATTAGGTGCCTTATTAAACACTTTTTTTTAAAAGCAGCACCCAGACAATGTTTCAAGAGGGTACCTCATAATTGGCTCAGTTACTGAATAATATAATTGTT